GTTTGAGACCCGCCTGGGCAGCGAGACCTCATCTCTACAATAAATAAAAAAATCAGCCGGGCGTGGTAGCGCATGCCTGTAATTCCGGCTACTTGGAAGGCTGAGGTGGAAGGATCACCGGAGCCCAGCAGGTCGAGGTTGCGGTGGCCGGGAGCGGCCATTGCACTCCAGTCTGGGTGACAGAGTGAGACTCCAACTCAAAAAAAAAAAAAAAAAAAAAAGGCACATTTTGACTCAACATGAAGTCACCCTTGCCTGGGCTGTGTCGCAGAGTGGCTGATGTAGGAGCTGGGATCCAGGGCCCCTAAGGATATGCTAAGATGCACCCTTCCCCTTGGAGCTTCCGCCTCCTCATTGGTGTCTCCAAGGGGTCCTCAAGCAGCCACAGATTCTCAGAACCCCTGGTTCTGCAGGCCAAGTGCTGTGGAAAGCAGGGGAGGGCGTGGCACTTGGACAGGGGCTGCAGAAGTCCATAGTGATGGAAATGTGAATCTCTAGCTGCCTCTGGCTGCCTGAGCCTGCAGATTAAAGCAAGGCCAAATCTGGCTGAGTAATTCCCTTCCCTCCAGAGCAAACAGCAGCGGGAGGACCCCAAACAATCTGGCCTCTGTTGGAGGGGTGGGGCAGGCAGATCTATTTGGGAGACAAAAGGCGGGGCTGTAAGTTGTCCCTCCAGTGCCTGCTGGTCTTTTAGCCTTCCTGGGACCAGATTCTTTGTTTTTAAGCAGGTTGATTGTCTCAGCCATACAGGGATGTTTTCCCTGAAGTTGAACAAGTACCAGCTCCCCTAGCCTTACTAACTGGGTTGAAGATCATCCAAGATTTTGGGGGGGGTTTGAGACAGGGTGTCACTTCTGTCACTCAGGCTGGAGTAGAGTGGCACGATCACGGCTCGCCACAGCCTCTACTGCCTGGGTTTAAGTGATCCTCCCACTTCAGGAGCTGGGACTACAGGTGCCACCATGCCTGGCTGATTTCTAAATTTTTGTAGAGATGAGGTCTCACTATGTTGCTCAGATGGGTCTTGAACTCCTGGGCTCAAGTGAGCCTCCCACCTTGGCCTCCCAGAGTGCTGGGATTATAGGCATGAGCCAATGTGTCCAGCCAAAAATATGTTTTGAATCCAGGCTCCCACGCTTACTCGCTCTGTGACTTTGAGAACTGTATTTAACGCTATAAGCCTCCATGTTCTCATCTGTAGAGTGGGGGGATTGCAGCATTGCTCTGTGGGGTGGGCAAGGTACAGTAAACCAAAGCACACCAAACACTCTGTGCCCAGGGGAACTGGTATCAATCTTGCAGATAAGCAGCCTTGTGAGATTCTAAAAAGGAGCATGCACTGCTCTGAGAAACCGCACTCAGCTGGGCACGGCGGCTCATGCCTGTAATCCCAGCACTTTTGGGAGGCCATGGCAGGAGGATTGCTTGAGGCCAGGGGTTTGAGACCAGCATGGGCAACATAGGGAGACCCTGTCTCTACAAAAAACATTTAAAAATTAGCTTGGTGTGGTGGTACATTCCTGTAGACCTAGCTACTAGGGAGGCTGAGGCAGGAGGATTGTCTGAGCCCAGAAAGTCGAGGCTGCAGTGAGCTGTGATCATGACACTGTCCTCCAGCCTGGGTGACAGAGTAAGTCTCCGACAAAAAACAAAACAAAAAAACCACTCCTGGGCTCTTCACTTGCCTTGGGTGTCAGTAGCTTGAAGGCAGCATGAGGGTGGTGGATGGGTACCCAGGTGGAGAGATTTGAAGGGGCTGGACAGAGCCTCCTGTTTACCACAAGTATCAGATCTCCTCCCATGTCTGGGCTGTTCCTTGGGCCCCCTGGAAACTCTTAAATCCCAAGGACCAGCCGGATGTAGTGGCTCATGCCTGTAATCCCACCACACTGGGAGGCCGAGGCAGGAGGATTGCCTGAGCTCAAGGGTTTGAGACCAGCCTGGGAAACATAGTGAGATCTCTTCTTTACAAAAAAAAAAAAAAAACTAGCTGAGCATGGTGATGCACACTTGTGGCTCCAGCTACTCAGGAGGCTGAGGCCAGAGGATTGCATGAGCCCAGGAGGTCAAGGCTGTGTTGAGCTGTAATTGTGCCACTGCACTGAAGCCTGGGCAACAGAGTGAGACCCGCGAGTCTAATAATAATAAGAAGAATATAAATAAATCCCAAGGGCCAAATTAAGCTGCTTTGCCCCTCTCTACTCTGATCTGGAGGGTTTTGGGGAGAGGACTGGTCTGGGGGGTCCTAAGAGGGGCCCACAACTCTCAGATGGTTTCCTTTAGGTTTCTGGGAATCATGTTGGCAGGGTCCTTACAATCTTCTGACCTGTCTCCACCCAGTACAGGCCAGACTTATTTCGGACTAAGTGTATTACCTCCTGTGGTGCCCAGGCAGGGGGCAGGGAGGTAGGCGTAGCACAGTGAGTTGGAGATAAAGAACGCTGAACCAATTCTTCTTCGTATGAAAGACATCAGTAGTTGGGGGTCTTCATAATAGTTACATTTTTCATAAGCTTTCCTGCCAAATGAGTTATTTGGAGGATTGAAGAATTCCCAATGGCCAGAGGGAAGTTATGAAGATGAAACTTGCATTTTAGATCATGAGGATTTTATTAATATGTTACTATTTTAAGCCACCATACAAATATCCTTTGTATTGATCTCAGTGTGATGTGCCGACTGAATAAATATGCCAATTTCTGCCAGGGAGCCGAACAGTATTTTTAACCTACTTTAAAATATGTGTTGTTTCCTATGGGTTTTTTTTAAAGTTTGGAGTTGATTATGAAAGCACTTTCACTTTTTAAAAATTCTTCCTTCCAGAGAATATACGTATATATTCTACACTATTAAATACAAAGCTTAATGGGGTGGGTGAGTTTTTTTTTTAAGTTACAAATGAAAGTTAAAAAAAGGTGAAATGATTATTTTTTTGACTATGTAAGCCATTGTATTAGAGAATACCACTACAGCAAAGAAAATTGGAGTAACAATTCTTTGAATATATAACTGGAATATATTCTTTATTTTTATTTTATTATTTATTTATTTTTTTGAGTTGGAGTCTCACTCTGTCACCCAGACTGGAGTGCAGTGGCCGCTCCCGGCCACTGCAGCCTTGACCTGCTGGGCTCCGGCGATCCTTCTGCCTCAGCCTTCCAAGTAGCTGGAACTACAGGCGTGCACTACCAGGCCCGGCTAATTTTTTGATTTATTGTGGAGATGAGGTCTCGCCAAGTTGACCAGGCGGGTCTCGAACCCACGGGCTCAGGCAATCCCACTCACCTCAGCCTCCCAAAGCATGGGATTACAGGCTGAGCCACCGAGCCTGGCTTATTTTTATTTATTTTTTGAGCTAGGGTCTCACTCTGTCACCCAGGCTGGAGTGCAATGGTATGATCATAGCTCACTGCAGCCTCCAGCCCCTGGGTTTAAACGATCCTCCTGCCTCAGCCTCCTGAGTAGCTGAGACTACAGGTGTGCACCAACATGCCTCGCTAATTTTATTTTGTACAGATGGAATCTTGCTATGTTGCTCAGGCTGGTCTTGAACTCCTGGTCTCAAGCAATCCTCCCACCTCCACCTCCACAGTGCTGGGATTTGAGCCACTGCACCCAGCCTGAAACGTATTCTTGTATGAATTTTTCCTGATGACTGCAAGCTTGTCTATTTACCCTGTTGAGTATATGATGCCACATACTTAATCAGGGCCCTGCCAGGAACTCCAGATCTTTAGAAGTCAAGGGAAATCCACAATGTGTACATGTATCGAAAAACCACTTTGTGTCCCATAAATATATACAGTTACTATTTGTCTATTAAAAATAAAATGAGGCCATTGCTTTGCTAAACTCTGGGGTGTCCATGTGACTCTTTGAGCTATGGCTGCCATGTTTCTTGGCTTTAGACCCTCCCCTACTTTGGGGAGGTGAAACTTCTCTCTTCTCTCTCTCTCTCTAATTTACATTCTAAATAAACTATATTTCCCAATCTAAAAAATAAAATAAAATGAAATGAAACAAAATAAAATTGTGTTGTCCTTGTGACCCACACTTTGAGAACTGCTGACCTAAGATAACTGAGTTTGGTCCCAAACATACAGTAGATAATCAGTAAATGTTTAATACACAAATCAATAAACAAATGACAAAGAAAACAATTAAGCAAAAGACAAAACAGAAGAGAAAAAAAAAAAAAGCCCCAAAGCTGAAGCTTTTCATGAATTGGCTAACAGGATCCTCGAGATCATGATTCCCTGGCCATTCCATAGATGGGGGAACTTAGGAGGGGGCAGGCCAAGGGCTTGTTTAAGGGCTTTCAGCTGCCTCTGTATAGTTTATTAACTGGCTTCTCCCTTTCTCTCTCTTCAAAGCGAGAAACAAATAGAAACAAAAAAACCCAAAGGATCTCTGAAGTCTCAAAGCTGTTGGGAGGATATTTAAAGACCGGATTGAGTTCTTGTTTGGGAAGGCATCGAAGAAGAGCTAATGGCAATTATAATTACTTGTGGCTCATGAAATTTCCTGGTTAGGGACAGAAATGTAAGATTTCCATCTTGTACAATGATACCAGTTCTCACCCTTACTTTGTGGAGCAAGAAATCTTAGAAAATCCAGGCACGTGACCGGCAACGGGACCGTGTGGAAGTCACTCAGCACGTTATAACCTTCAGGGTCAGAGCTGAGAACAGGCCCCAAACCACAGACCCTGGCATTTCCAGGCCCCAAGCTGAAGACCCTGGCATTTCCAGGCCATCTGGTCTACCTGTTGACCTGAAGCAGGATCCTTGGTGTGATCCTGTCCAGTGAGAGGGAGCCACTGTCTCACGGGCAGCATGCCCACCACCTGGGGGAGTCCTGCCTGATTCTGACTTGAAGTCTGATGTGGGGGCTGCAAGGGGGAGTGTGAGACCCCTCCTGATACGCATTGCGGCTTGAGATGAAGCTCTTTACAAAAGCCCTCGCCCTCTCCTCCTGGTGTCCCAGGAGATGGGGTTTACCTGAAGTTGTAGCCTGGGGAGACGCTGCTCTTCTGAGAAACGCTGTCGAGTCGGGTGAAGGAGTACTTGGGGATGCACTGGTCCCAGGCTTTGTCCAAGTCGCACACCCAGCCAATCTTAATGCCCAGGACGCCGCCCTGGAGAAAGGGGCCAGGTGTGAGTGCTCCCCTTGCCCTCTGATGTCCTGTGCTTGGCCAGGGTGGGGGTAGGAGGGACTGATGGTGACAGATGGTTTCTTTCCATTCTCTGGGTGGAAAATGGAGGCAGGGAGAACAAAAGGGGATCTGGCACACATTTCTCCATAAAAAAGTGCTGTAGCCGGGCTGGGGACCCTCCAGCCTCGGAATCCTGCTTTTTGTTTTTTTGGGTTTCTTTTGAGTCAGGGTCTCAAGAGTTTGAGGCTGCAGTGCAGAGGCACAATCATGGATCACTGCAGCCTTTAACTCCTGGACTCAGGCAATCCTCTCACCTTAACCTCCTAAGTAGTTGGAACTACAGGTGTGCACCACCATGCTTGGCTAATTTTTCATTTTTTTTTGTAGAGATGGGGTCTCGCTATGTTGCCCAGGCTGGTCTCCAACTCCTGGGCTCAAGCAATCCTCCCACCTTGGCCTCCCAAAGCGCTGGGTGTCAGGGGTGAGCCCCTGTTCCTGGCTGAATCCTACTTTTGGACTTTCTAGTCCCTTAGCTGTACCACAGGAGAGAGATGGTGGCCTCTTTATCAGTTCCACTGTCCCAGCGTGTGGCTCTCTCCAGAGATCGCAGACCTCTCCCTGAGGTGGCATGTGTGTGAAGACGGGAATGGGAAACTGAGGCTTGGCCACTGGGGCTGGGACAGGCAAGCCCACTCAGGGCAGAGATGGGTTGGGCACAAAGCCAGGTGCAGGCATGGGATGCTCTCTTCGGGGGGCGCTGTCTTGGGGCTGCTCCCTTCCAGTCCCCCAACCACCTGCCAAAGGGTCAGGGGAAGGGCTGAGCTTCGGGGTTCCAGGTCAAGGAAGAGTGGGTAGGTCCTCACCGTTCTGGCCAGCTGGGCGAAATCCTGCCCCGCAAACTTGACCACATCCCCCACCCGCAAGATGGGGCAGAAGGGGGCCTTGTCAGGGTGGAAGCGGCAGGTCTTCATGTCCCCGGAGGTCAGGTTGGGAAGGATGTTTCCCCTGGGAAGGAGCAGAGAGAAGCAGGGCCAGGGTTCAGGTGGCGAGAGGCACCTGTAGACTTTCCCCAGCCTCCTGGGGCCATGGCCCTCATGTCCAGTGGGGATCTGCATCCTCACCTCTTAGACTTGCCTGTCCCATCCCCTCTTCCCCAGCATCTATCTTTCTTTTCTTTCCTTTTTTTTACTTTTTTTGAGTCAGAGTCTCACTCTGTTGCCCAGGCTGGAGTGCAGTGGCACACTCACAGCGACCACAACCTTGACCTGCTGGGCTCTGGCGATCCCCCTGCCTCAGCCTTCCAAGTAGCTGAAACTACAGACATGCACTACCACGCCTGGCTATTTTTATTTTATTGTAGAGAGAAGGTCTCACCAAGTTGCCAGGCTGGTCTTGAACTTGCAGGCTCAGGCAATCCACTCCCCTCAGCCTCCCAAAGTGCTGACATTACAGGCTGAGCCACTGAACACAGCCTTCTTTCTATTTGTTAATTTTTTTTTTTTTTTTTTTTTTGAGTAAGAGTCTCACTTTATTGCCCAGGCTGGAGTTCAGTGACACGCTCATGGCCACCGCAGCCTCGACCTGCTGGGTTTAGGCGATCCTTCCGCCTTAGCCTTCAAGTAGCTGAAACCACAGGCATGCACTACCATGCCCAGCTAATTTTATAATCATAAAATTTATTGTAGAGATGAGGTCTTGCCAAGTTGCCAGGTTGGTCTTAAACTCCTGAGTTCAGGCAATCCTCTTGTTTCGGCCTCCCAAAGTGCTGGGATTACAGGCATGAGCCACCGTGCCTGGCTCTTTTCCTTTTTATTTCCCTTTCCCTTTTCTTTCTTCTTC